CCTCTTTAATTTAATCAATTTATTCGTTCCTTTATTCCTTTTACAAAGTTTTCTTTACTCTGCATTTCACTCTTTTCATACACGATTTTAATAAAGAGTTTGCTTTTTTGCTAACATAATTTATTATATATTATACAATCTTCATACCCTAACTTGAAAGTTAGATGGGTTTGAAGTTGTTGGTATTTATTATTATGCTTTTTCGAATTTATTTTTTTGTTCTTCTGACCAACATATCAATGTAGTGCAGTTTTGATTTGGCTTGTGAAACTTATTAGCGTAATTAGACGATTTTTTCATAAAATACATAGTGTAGGTCTAATTCCAAGAATGCTACCTTAATTTCTTTAATCCACGTGATCATATGAATTTGGTTTTGCGTCGGATATCAAATTACCATTATAAAATATGCATGCGGGACTCAACCTGGGATAAAAATTTTGATGTTGACGAGATGAGTAATTGTTTTTCTTAAAATGTATATGTCGCGGAACAAACAATTAATAAACATCATGTGCGTAAAAAAAAAAAAAATTGTGAATGTTTAATAACAAATCTTGGGGGTGTACATGAATATGTGTATTACCATAAATTTTATTTACTTGTGATTATCAACAAACTTTTTTTATTCGGTTTAAAAAAAAAAATAAAAAAACAATAAAAATAATTATTCTTATATTAAAATTATAATCGGATGTTGTAATCGGATGTTGTATGCTGATTCCTTGAAAATTAGTTAAAATTAATAATCATTTTTAGGAAATCCAATCCATGCGAGATGTTCAATTTAAAAAAAAAAAAAAACAAAAATGGTAATAATAGGACAATTTCCAGAATTTTATATTTCTCGTTTCTCAATGGCATGATTCTGCTTCTTTACTAGCATTTCGTTTTAAAGGCAATCAAAGGAATGATTCCAATTAATTTGAAGTTTTACGGAGATATTTTGATTGTATTATAAGAATTTTGGTTGGTTTAAAAGTGGAGAGCAAAGCAGATCAAACCATTAATTTATTCATTTGCATTAATTCCATATGCTCTAAAAAATCACTTACTAATCTAATGGAATTTTTTTTAAAAAAGGTTTCTAAATTTGACTGATTGCTATTTTTTTCAATCGCATGATTTTTTAATATGCGAAAATCAAGGTGAATATGATGATTGGTTCTTTTGAGCATAATGTTTATTTTTTTTTGTTTCAATTAATGATGTAACCTACGAACTGATATATCTAAATATAGATTTGTAAAATACCCACGATTATTCCTAAAACATTTCTTTATTATTTTATATTTAATATAACCACATAATTTCAAAAAGTATAAATATCCTCAATGAGTAACCGTCAATTAGTTTCGAACTTTTTTGATAAAAGTAAAATAAAAAAAAGAAAAAGAAATATTTTCGTATAAATCTTTACGAAACACGTACACAAACGTACAGCGTCAAAGAGTATCAAAAAAGATAAAATTAAAAAAAAAACCCTCCTTTCGTTTTCTTAAACGAACATATATATATATTAGTAACAAAAAAAAAGAAAAGAAAAAAAAAAACTATCTTTTTATGCATTTATCCAAATTTTATAAGAATTTAAGATCATCGTTATAATTTATATTAAATATTATATTTTTATAATTATGAAATTATTATTACCTATTCTAAACATTTTACTATACGCTACCATTACTATCGAGGCTCTTCCTCGAATATCTACAAGAAATGAAAACCACACATCGAGTGGCGAATGGAAATTTGTTGGAAAGTAAGTGTGAAAAAATTTAATTCTTTATCAAATTTATCAATGACCAAATTGAGTAACATGTTTATAATTCAAATCGATATAGAACCGGCGTATCTGCAATGCACATGACCCTCATTCGGCCGACAAAAGTTTTAATAATCGATAAAGGTAATGCTTGTTTAACAAATATGGCATGATCTACGTTTTTTATACATGCTAAATACTAAATTATAATTACATTTAGCCGGTAGAAACCCAGAGGCTTTGTTATCCAAAGGACGATACGCTTATTCGACTCTGTACGATTTGAGTACGAATACTTATCGTATATTAAGTCTGCACACAAATACTTTTTGTTCTGCCGGTGCATATCTAGCCAACGGGACCATGGTGGAAACCGGTGGTGCCGAGGATACCTTTGGAGAAAAGAATGGATTTCAATCGGTTCGTTTGATTGACGGATGTGATGATAAAAGTTGTGATTGGTTAGAATTTCCCTATAATTTGGATTCTCCAAGGTGGTATAATTCAATGGTTACCTTACCTGATGGTCGTGTATTTAATCTTGGCGGTTCGATCAAGGCTGCTGCGATCAACAGAAAGGATATTGAAAATCCCACCTTTGAATTTTATCCAAAAGAACATGAAAAAGGTCATAAAATTCAATTTTTGGAGGATTCCTTTCCATATAACCTTTATCCTATCGTGATGGTATTACCCGGTCCTAAAGATCAACATCAATTATTCTTGTCCGCAAATAAGAAAGCTCAAATTTGGGATTATGTCACGAAAGAAACCGTAAAACATTTACCTGATATTCCAGGTGGACCACGTACTTATCCACTTACCGGTTCTGGCGCTTTGTTACCTTTAAGGCATGAAGATGGTTATAAGGCTGAAATTCTGATTTGTGGTGGTGGTACTGAAATGAAAAGAAAAGCTCCCGCCGAAAAAACTTGTGAAAGGATCGATTTATCTGATGAAAATCCTCAATGGGACGAAGAAGAATTTGGTCATAATCAACCAACTGGTCGTGTAATGCCTGATGCTATTCACTTACCTAATGGTAAAATTTTATTTTTAAATGGAGCGGGTCAAGGGTTCGCAGGTTGGGATTTAAGAGCAAAACCCAATAGACCATTTGAACATACGGCGAGTTTACCGACAAAAGCTCCACTCTTATATGATCCTTTGGCAAAGAAAGGTTCAAGGTGGAGTCAGCTTGCCGAAGATCCAATTATAAGGGTTTATCATTCATCCGCTACTTTACTTCCAGATGGTAAAGTCTTCGTAGCTGGTAGTAATCCAAATATAAATTATTGTAGTATCGAAGATTGTGCACATCCAACCGAACATAGAGCCGAAGTATTCACACCACCTTATTTATTAAATGGAAATCCCATACCAACGATCACAAAAGTTGCAGGTCACAAGAATCTCAATGGAGATAAAGCAGTTCCAGTAACGTATGAACAAAAAATTTCAGTATCTGTTGACATTGATAGTTCAGATACGGAATTTACCGCTTCATTATCACACATGGGATTCATCACGCATTCACAACACATGTCTGCTAGAGTCGTCACGTTAAAAGTAGAAAATGTTCGAAAGTCAGAATCAGGTTTTACAATGGACATTACAATGCCACCAAATTCAAATGTGTTCCCACCGGGAAGACATAATTATTTATTCGTTCTCAACAAGGGTACTCCCGCTAAATCAGCAATAGAATTGCACGTCAATCTTTAATTTCCATATGGTCCGTCCATTATAAATTACTTGTAATATTTTAATATTTTTAAATTTATCATTAATTATTTGTATTTTTAGAACTTTTAATTTTTTCCTTTTACACAACTTAATTTAAAAATCTATATGGTTGTTTTTGACATTTCACTCTGTAATTATTGTACGTTATCGGAACAATTCATGTGTACATTTAGAACAGTTTAGAATAATTTTGTTTAAACAAATAAAATGTTTGTTTTATAAAAGCGGTCCAGAATTCCGATAACAAGTGAAATAACCATTACATAGCCGCTCCTCCTTTATGTTTCAAAATTTATTAAAATAATATTATAGCTCGTTGTTTGTTTCATGTTTCAAAAGTATAATTAATTTTGTTCATATATTGTGTAATAAACTAATAGTTCTAAATAGGAAAGTTATTTTGTAAGGAGTAAATGATTTGATTTTTCGGACTTTATCATCTATTTATGGTTTGATTAATAATAAATTTAAAAGAAATTTTTTTTTTCCGTTGATCTATGGAAAGCTTATCGGGTAATTAATTTATTTTTATTTAATGTTGATCATTTAAATAATT